CCTTTTAAAATCCTTTAGGAAGAGATCATTTACTTTATAATGGGTTTAAACTGTTTTATTTAGAGCTAGAGGAAAATGTTAAACAATAGGGGAACACCAAACTGCTAATGAAAACATCCTTGATAGAAAAAGAGACAGGAAGGTTGGCAGAGGAAGAGGAGAATTCCCAAGTGTCTGCTGGTAAGAAAAAAAGCCATCAGTTAAACATATTTTTTCTTATTTCTATGGTAGCAACACATTTTTAGATAAAGCTGTGTACCACTTACTTGCAAGTAAAAAGAAATAATGCAATGCTTTGTAGCACAGACAATTAAAAACTGCAGTTCTTATCAGAACAAAGCTTGGATTATTGCTTTAAAAAGCAATCAGGCTTTAAAAAGCTATAATAAACTCTATTGAAGTCACTGCCCTAGAAACTTAATGACACTGAGCTTCCTTTCCTGGCACCTAAACACTCAGCTGAAGAAGTAAATCTGTAGGGGATAAGAAAAAAAGAAAAAAAACCCAGAAAAACATATAAATTTATTCAAACATTCTTCTGACACTGCTAATTTGGGAGTTCCTATTTTGTGACACATCCATCTGAGCTGACACTTTTCTAACCAGTCTAATTTCATCACCTTTTAGTCATCCTTAAAATGAGTGGAAGGTCCAGCTCTCAGGTTCCCCAGCTCTGTGCAAACTCCGTGCCTTTTTCTAAGAGGATGAGCAACAGGAGGAAAAGCTGATACTTCTATACGGTTGTAGTGTTTCCCCACTCCTCTCTGCTTTCAACAGAGAATAAAGGAAACCTCAAAAGTAATTTTAAACCTTGTTTGGAAACATTACTCCTTCTATCCCATTGCAGGACTCCATATGGCACTGAGGGAGGGAAATAGTATATCGGAGAAAAACACTTACAGTCCTGCAGGTGCTTCCTGGTGACTCCATACAAATACGAATTCTGCAGTGTAAGTAAACCACAGAGTTGTTGACAAAGGAAAAAATTTTCATCTTAAACTGAGCTTTGCTCGAATTCCCATTTTCCAGCAGTGTGGTGTAAGTATTTGGGATGGGACAGCTGAAAAGGGAGACAAAAACCACACAGAGCAGCTAAGGCTAGAGAAGGCAGGTTTTGGTTATAGCACAGAACTTGGGTTTAAGGTTTTCCTTCCTTTAGGAAGTCACAGCCAGACCCTTCATGAAGCAGCTCTGGCAGTGCAGTGGTGATAAAGGGCTGTTTGCTGCTTTATTCTCACAGTAACCAAGTGGAACAGGAGCTGTGAGAAGTGGTTGGAGAGCTGGAGAAGGAGGAAAAGGGTAACAGAAAGAAGGATTTAAACTTGGCCTCACCAAACACAGATTTAAGAAACCATCAAACTTAAAGGATTTTGTTATTGAGCAAAATTATTATCCTGTATTTTAAGGTGAGCCTAAGAAATATGACATTGGTGTGAGATCAGGGATCCAGACAGGAACAAACCTCCTCTTTCACCAGAGGCTGCTCTAATATCACACGTGAGGAATTAAATAACCTATTTCTTTGTGGACAAGAGACATATAAGCTCTTGATAAAGCTGAAACCACAGAGAAACCTCAGAACGATAGAGCAGGAGATAAAGCACCCACTTCTCTAATGCTCTTTCACTACTGACTGCCAAAATCACCTTCAAGTGATTTCTTCAGGTTAAAAGCACAATTCCCTCTCAAAACTGTGAGGAAGACAACCAAACCCAAAAAATTTTCACATGGCCCTTTGAAATCCCTTTTCATATCTACCTTTCTTGTTCTAAGAAGGTGTAACCAGGCCAGATAGAAAGGGACCATGCATGTGAATGATGAGAAAAGTAATTTTAAAAAAGTCATTTAAAATACAACACATTATTAGTCAGTACCACTGTAACACCTAAGGTATGGCTCATGGTATTTGCAAATGGCATTGCTGTACCTGTTGCTGATAAAAACAAATGACAGGGGATCCATTGAATTATTGGTTGGAGTGGCCCAGCAGTCAGTGAGAACCACCTTGAGCTGGCTGTCTGCCCTCTGCATCCCCACTTCGATCAGCACATCCTCACTGGCAGAGACGCTGAAGTTTTTGGGGACGGGGGAGTTTCCAATAAACAACTGCATTTCTGTTCTGAAGTATCCAGATCCATGCAAATCCTCAAAGATGGTGTAAAGTCTGGAAAAACAATTATCCTTCTTTAAACACCACACATTTGACTGTAAGTTTCTGCAAGTTTTAAATCAGTGCCTGTATCCCCACATATTTAGACAGTGAAGGGTTATCTGCAGTCCAGGATGGCAGGACACTGTTCAAAAGGAAGGGTGAAAAAGCATGGAGTTTTCATCTGGGAAGGTAGAGAGAATAGAAACACAAGTGGGAAAATCCAAAGGGTGGGCTTAACATTTCATGGAGCAGAAGGGGAATAAGACTATGAGCTCTCTGAAAGCTCAAAAGAAGGACAGTAAAATCTTAGTGCTGAAGAGAAGAGCAAAAAAAAAAAAAGAGAGAAGGAAAATGTGAAGAGAAAGGCCTGAGAAAATTATAGAGCTCAAAGAAGAAAAGTGACCTGATAAAGACTTTGCTGGGGAATAGGAAGGAAGAAAGGAAAATACAATCTCTGGACAGGGCTAGGAAACAGAAACTGGATTTGGTGCCAATAGTTTAAGCAGGATGATAGGCAGGAGAGGAGGTGCAGCTGTATGAAGGGAGGACACTCCTGATGAGAAAAAGGCTTGTGCTGTCACATTTTCTGTCAGCACAGCCCTGATTTTCTGTGAAGTGTGGCTCTGATTCCATCTTATTTGAAGGTGAAGTCTTCCACAACAAAAAAAGTACTTGTATGATGTATTGTTTGGTTTTTCAAGTTGACCAAATAAGGATTTGTGGGGGGTTAAAAACTGCCATTCTCAGAAGCCACATAGCAATCTGCAGGCCCACATCAGGTGGGAAGATACATGACTGATATGTCCCAAAAGCAGGAAAATGCTGTTTTGCTATAAGGGATTGCCCAGGAAGGCAATGAGGAGACAGGAATTCTGACTCCTGAACCAGCAGATCCCAAAGGTTTATTTCCACCTGTGGTTTAGCCAGGTGAAGGTCAGGCTTGTTAGATCTACTGGTATATTAGTTGAAGTAGGAGAGAAGCACACAGCAGGGATCTCCTTGATGCCTTGGACTGGCTACCTAGAACAGAGGCTGGACAGACTAAGAGAATAAAGTGGATATTTATTAAAGGCCTTTAACACCTTGGGCCATGTAGGAGCGTGACAGAGGCTACAGACAAGATGGAAGAGGGTCATGAGCTTTTAAGGCAGATACAAGATTGGTCTATTTGCATATCAGAGGTTAATTGTCCAGGTAATGAAGTCACATTCCCCTGGTTTGGTTTTCTTACTAACAATTCACTTTTGTTTACACTTTTCAGGCCTGAGGCTGTGATGATGACTTTGGTTCTCAGGCCTGGAAGGATTGTTTTGTCTGACCACACTGTGAGGAGAGCTTACAAACACTCTGTATGGAGTTCAGAGGTATACACTAATGCAGTACAGGATCTGAAAAATAGGAAAGCTAAAACTTAAGGCATCATTCAGAGCACAGGACTCCCAGGATGGCAGACTGCTCCCAGTGCTGCCACTGGATACAGCTCCAGCCCCTGGGGTTTTCCCAGTGCAGCAGCACTCAGCCACACAGCAAAATTTCAAAGCAGAGAGAGCTGTTCCTCACCCTTCTGCAGTGTACCCAGAGGAAGTCAAGACATTGTTTTGAAACACACAGTGGATGGGACTGGCAACGTTCAAGTGGTGGATTATTCCCTGAGCAGAAACATCATTCCGAAGGGTGGTTCTCACCACAGTAGTAGTCATGTTCTGCAGCACAGAAAGGAGAAAATACATCAGTCTTTCCAGGGTTGTACCAGAGCTTTCCAGCTTCAGGTGCTTGGGTGTTCCCTGTTCTCCTGACAGCAAAAATCAAGCAGATTAAACCTCCAGGATCTTTGTTGCTGTATAGGGAGGCAAAGAAAATACACCCGTCTTCCTCCTATTTCTTTTTGTCACATCATAGAATCACAGAACAGCTTTGGCTGAAAGGGATCTGAAAAACCATTTAGCTCCAAACCACCTGCCATGGGCAAGGACACTTCCCACTAGACCAGGCTGCCCAGAGCCTCATCTAGCCTGGTCTTGAACACTTCCAGAGATGGGACAATGATCATTCCTCAGCAGTGGTGATTGCTCCATGAGGGAGCTTCTGTGTTTTGGTATGGTCTGACCATAGCTATTGGTTTGGGATCCAAAGAGAGCTGTCACACTTTGTCCCCAGTACTGGTAGCTATTGAAGTATTTGTCAGCATGAGATGATGAAATTACTTTTAAGAAAAGACAGCTGCAAAGAGAACCCAGAAGAGGCATGGGAAGTGACTCAGTTTGGACAGGCCCATGACTTTTGCTGCCTGACCTCAAAGATTCCCCTTCTCTCTGGTGCTTCCCATCACGCACTGAGGTAACTTTCCATCACAGAAGGGGATTTCTTTCTCCAACAAAAGCTCAGCAACTAACAGATTGCACGCCTAGCTAAGGATCTGCCACTGCCTCTCCCCTCCTGAAAGAGAAATAAAGTGCTCCAGAGCTTGCTGGCATGCCCTTGATCAGAGGACTTACGGTCTCAACTTGGGTGCCACAGTCGCTCCAGCCCGCCTGCAGCACAATGTGGGTGCCATTGCTGGTGCTCACGTTGCAGCCAGGCTCCCCCAGGAACAGGGAACTCTCTGGGATAGACTCCTGCTGCAAGAATCTCTTCTGGATGGCAAGGACAATCCTCTCACTCTCACAAAGCACACTCACAGCGTTTTTAATGGAAACCTCTTGGGTGGGTTTGACAAGGGGGGCTGGAGATGCTCGAGGAGGAACATCAGGAGTTGCCATGGGATCCGTGGTGAGAGGAGTCAGCACCATGCTGGAGAACGTGGTGTCCTCCAGAGCTTTGTGCTCAGCAGGAGAGAGGTCCAGTGAAGCAGGGGAGGAAACATGAGCTGAAGTTTGCAGAGATGCCACAGGTAAAATTGTGCTGTTCACAGGTTTCCTATCTGTCACTGTTGCCTTCTGGATGAAGGGAAGTGCTAAAGAATGCCAAAAAAAAGCTACTGTTGTAATTTACATGTTGAGATTTGTCTCATTAGGCAAAAGCAAACTCTTAGGAGGAAACCCACAGTTACTGGCAGGAAACCAGCTTCTTTTGTTCTTTTAACCTGCTCTACTTACTCCAAAGCTGGGACTTTTTTTTAGAAAGGAGCCCGTGAGACACATAAAGTGCCCATCAGTAAAGCTGCAGTGCTTTTTTTCCTGGCAGCTGCAATAATTAATGTGCAACACATGTACATACAGCTTTTGGAACATCAGTGCTTGCACAATATTCCCCACTGGAAGTTGCTCAGCAAGTGCTTGTATGGTTTTTTTTTGCCTGGAGCTGTAGGAGACTGCCCAGTTCTGGCTGGGGACATAACCAGGAATTTGATAAAAAACCACAGGCCTCATTTGTGACTAGTTACTATTTAAAAGATGAGACCTTGTGTGCTTTGCAAAACTCATTTTGGGGGATGCGTGGGACAAACCTCATGTGGCAGTCCCATATTGCAGGTGTGCCCTGAGAGAGAGGAATAAATGTATCAGTGACAATCTGTAATGGTTCCAGGAAGGAAAAAGTGGGGGAAAAGGGAAGCACAGGTTCAGATCAATGTGTGTATCAAACACCCAATATCCAGCACAGGTCTGAGGTTACACCCTGAGTATTCACCCACCACTGACTGAGAGAGAATCAAGACAAATTCCATTTGTAGGGAAGCACAAACAATGTGTCTCATCACACAAAACTTCTCTTAAATCATTTTAGTGGCTAAAACAGAAAAATACCACCCATTTCCCAAGCAATATATAAAACCTGTACATATATATAAATCCTTATGGAACCGCCCAGCTTCCAGAAATGCCCCAAATGAAAAAGCCACTGATTTGCACAATAAAGGAAGGAAAATAAAAGTTGGAGCTCTTCCAGAGCTGGATTTCCCAATGCTTATCATCACATTAATATCTTAGTTAAAACTGAATATATGTTGGTATCAATTGACAAACCATAATGACTTTAGTAAAAAATGTTCCTCATCACTGTGGTTACAAAACCAAATATAAATTACTGAAGAAGCTTAGCAGAATTTAGGAAATTAAAGATCATACATCAGCTAACAAACAACCTGAGGAAAGAGGGAAGCCAGATGAATCAGCTCATAAAAAAATGTAGTTTGTAATATCAGCATTTTCTCCCTGCTGCCATACAGAGGTGAAGCCACATATCAAGTATTTTTTGTTACTTTCTCTGTTACCTCTTCTGTCCCCTCTACTACTGCTAATGAAAATCAATAAGAATCTTGACAATCCTGTCTAATTTTTGTGGCAAATATGAGAAACAGAACTGTTAAAAGAACCTTACAGCATTAAATATTAATACAGTACATTCCCACTCCTAAAGTGATCCACTGCCCAAGGGGATGTTTCTGACCCCAGGGGCCTCCTCAGTTTTTCCCCCATTTCCCAATTCTGAGAAGATGCTGAGTAAATGCCCAGCATGAGTGAAGCGGAAGGCTTGTGGGACTGGTCCAGATTGCAGTCTAGTTGCTGTCTTAATATTTACCTGGCCAAAATTTTCATTTTTGAGAGGAAAAAACATGCTTTTACTTCTCTTTCTCTTTCCAAAGTCTAAACACTGGAGCCAATCAGACCATAGGTGGGACTCAGAAAGCAGCACCAGTCATCTGCTCTATGGGGACCTGTCCCTGAAACAAACCCTTTGTTTTAGCCCAGGTTTGAGGGAGGCAGGCACTCTGAAAAGCACTACCACAAGATAGGTGTGATCCTACTAATTACCAGGATATGTAACTTTCCAGATCCACAGCTGTGAGTGTAACAGGCAAAAAAAATATTATAGGGCAGAGAATAAATATGTTTCTGAAGTAATTTTGAATGAGATTCTAATTGACTGCTTATAACAAACTTATTTGGATAAATGGATTGTGTCAGGGATACAGTATTTTATTTTTTTTTTTAAGAAGTGACTTGTGAAAGAGAATTCAGCTGCTCTTAGTCAGGAGATTAATGGTTTTTGTTACTTCAATTACATATAAAAGAAAAGAAGTTGTACAATCAGCCATCATGTTGGGCTTGGCAAAGTGTGGGCTTTCACCTGAGCTCTAGACACAGAGGTGTGTGAGGAAAAAAACTCTCCTAGTGAAGAAGGACTCACATATTAATTTATTTATTGGGATTTCTATTTAAATTGGAAAATTATTAGGGAAAAGCAAAGCATAATGTGTTTTTAAATTATTTTAAACAGTGCTAGTTATGGCTGTGTTCAAGGACTTATTTCCATTGGTAGCTTATAAACCCCTCAATCTATGATCTCTAACATCTCCTTACCTTTTTCTCTGTAAAACTGATTCTAGATATTGTCAAAAAGACCGGTTGGTTTTGTCCTTTTGGATCAGTGGTACCTCACTTCCTATGTCATCTGTGGGTGTTCTCTGAAAAACTTACTGGGTGGATAAGCAGAAGCAATATAAGGAGAGAAAAATGCTTTTCATCCATGTGTTTTACAGATATTTTCACCTCAGAAGACACAGGTTAATAATATCTTTTATCATCTGTCTGGTTCTGAAGAACTACTGGGACACAAGCTGCTCCTCACCCTGTATGGAGAGGCTGCTCCTGTTGATGGTGAAGTAGGAGCTGTTTCCCAAAGCCTCACAAAAAGTGGTGATGACATGGTGGACATCCACTTCTTCTGCAAGCAGCAAATTGAAACTTACCACTGTGCTCCCATTAGTAACACCCGTTACCAGCACTTTAATCAGACCAGCATCCATCTGCTGGAGCACCTCAAGGGGCAGAGATTTCTGCACCTGGAATAAAAACAAAATGCATGTGGGGATGGGCAGATGGAGCAATTACGTTTCAGGCTGTGTACACTGCTCAGAAATTAGTGTTGTGCTTCCTGCTCTGGAGGGAAGCAGCAGACAATTGACCTTTTGCTTTGTAACATTTTCAATCCAGAGCAGCTGAAGGATGTGGTGCACATTTAACCATGAATATTAAAGGAGCCAAGCGATTAAGACATCTCATCTGTCATTTGGCACAAGCCCTTGCCTCTGCTAACAGAAAGGGAGGGAGGAGACTGCAGGGAAGCTCCCATATGCTGCCTCTCAAAATGCCTCTGTGGATGGGAGCAACCCAAGGAATTCCAATCCAATCCAAGGAATTGCTGGTGGAAGTGGAGGTGCTCCTGACACTCACACTGCTCAGAGGGCTCTCTCAGCCCAGGAACATTACAACTTCGAGCAGGTGACCTTCAAGCTTTGTTTTACAGCTGATTTCTCACCAGAGCCAAGCAAATCTCACCTCTTTCTAAATGCCCAGACCAGGGTATTAAGGGGCCAGGTGGGGGCTACCACACTGTGGCCACCTCCAACTGCTTCTTCCTCTCTCTGATTTCTGCAGGGAATATCTGGAGCAGCAGGGCTGGATTTCAGCCATGAGCTTAAGGCACAGTTTATTTCAGTGTGTAGTGCTTGGGGATGCCAGCAGTGATTCCCACCAGGAAGAGCCCAGGGAAGTGGCAAGCGTTGGGAGCCACCAGGAGAAGCCTTGTTTGCCTTGCACCCACGCTCAGAGCTGGTGCATTTAGTGCTGGATTCTCACAGCTTTTACACAGCCTTGTGCCCTGCCTGCTGTGCATTACCCAGCCCTGACTTGCTCACTGTCTGTTACCCAGCCCTGCAGATGGTCCCAGGGTTTGCAGGTGTCCTGCAGCCCTTTCCTGAGCCCTCAGAGCTGGTGTGCTTCTCGTGCTGGGTGCCAAGGCAACATGGCACAGAGCAAACCCCCCGTGTGCCCCTGGAAACAGCTGCCAGGTGCCTGCAAGTCCCACCCAGCAAACCTGAGAGTGCCCCACGGAGCACGCAGGCAGAGCTGGGGGGATGGAGACAGCTGGCTCCCCTCTAAAAGCCTGGGCAGAACATAAACTGTCCTTGTCAGACCCCAAATCTCCCATTTCACCAAGACAGGGCCTCTTGGGCTCCTTCTGCTCTCTCCTTCTGCTGTTTCACAAGCAGGTACTGAAAATTTGGAGGTCAGACTTAAGTTTTCAGCTTTCATAATTTTTGTCTGAACTTCTCAGTATTAAACACAGACCCCAGTGACATCCTCTTAGCCCACCCTGATTTCATCCTCTTTCCCTATCTGAAAATTTTATTTATCAGTTCTTTTTCACAGAATCACAGAATCATTAAGGTTGGAAAATACCTCTAAGATAATCAAGTCCAACCTGTGACTAATCCCCACCTTGTCCCCAGCCCAGAGCACTGAGTGCCATGTCCAGGTCTTCCTTGGACACCTGCAGGGATGGGCACTCCAAACCCTCCTGGGCAGCCCCTGCCAAGGCTGAGCACCATTTCCATGGGGAAATTCCTACTGGTGTCCAACCTGAACCTTTCCTGGAGCAGCTCGAGGCCAATTCCTCTTGTCCTGTCCCTGTTCTCTGGGAGCAGAGCCTGACCCCCACCTGGCTAAAGTGGTTTTATTTTTTTTTTGTTTGTTTGTTTGTTTGGTTTGTTTTGTTTCTGTCCTTATTTCTATTTTTCCTCCCAAAGCAGGACCCAGAGCTTGAATAGCATCAGGGCACATTCACAGTATTTGTATTTAGCCACTAGGTGACACTACAAAACCTTTTATCCAAGAGACTCCAGGATTTCCCAACAGGTACCACACCCTGGGTTATCAAAACAAAGCTTCATGAAGCAGGGCTAGAAATAAAAATTTAAAAAAAAAAAAAAAAAAAATTAGGGGGAGAGGGAAAAACTTTTTGGAAAGAAACAGTCAATATATAATACCCTTGAGTATGAGGAGTTTGTACAAGAGAAATTATCTTCTGGTCTGTCACTGTATCTGCAATTTCTGTAGCACACAAAGGAAACCTAAGCAGGGAATGCACTGATAGTCTGGAAACTGAGAATAAGTAAATAAAAGGTACAGTAATTTGAACAGAATATTGTTTGAGGACTGTTTTTTTTTCATTCAGAGAGGAAAAAAAATTTCCCCACTATGTGTGGTTTGGCTGCACCTTCAGAGAGAAGGTTCCAGAGCACACATCTGCCCAGCCACCATCACCAGCAGCTTCCAGAATGTGGAGGTGGATAAACTCAAATTAACAAAAGGGTGAAATTACACTGGAATAGTGAAAAATCCTGAATCCCTGTCTCTACACTCATTCCACATTCATATAACTTCAACTACAATAATTTTAGGTACATTCAGCTACACAAACACAGGCTGTGTGCCTTCCACATAAGGGGGTAAGGCATTATTATTTATTAGTTTCACACCTTTTGTCACTCAGCTAAGTTTAAAACACCCAAATTCAAAACAAGCTTTCCACTTGGGAATTTATTGCACCTCAGTGAATGCATTTTCAACTCAAACCTTTTGCTTTCCTAACATTTTGTTGAGGACAAACCATGATAGCCTTCTTGGGGTGTTGTAAAACACAAGCTGAACAAACCCCAGGACTTAAATACATTTTTGCCTTTAGCTATGTTGTTTTTAAGTTGCATTACAAGAAAGGTGGTGGAACTGGCCTGGACTATGACAGTGCAGGTTGTCACATCAAGTTTTGCCTCCTTCTCATTATTTAGAGGATGATATTTCCATTTGCTGTGCTGCCAATTTAACCACATGGCACTTAAGTGCTGAGGCTTAAGAACATTATACACATTAGGATTTATAAACCCTCTGAATTGTAGATTATGACTCCAAAGAGGTTTAAAAAAATTCTCTGGCAAACTGTATTTAACTGGAACCTGAGACTGCTTTTAAAGCTCATAAAACTTTCCTCATTTACTTTAAAAGATCCATTTCTGGTCCTTATAACCTGAAAATAAAATATACAGATCTTTCTGGTCTCCTAAATTTTCTTTGGAGTCTAGAAATACAATATTTGTAATATTATTTACAGCAGCTATGCAATAGCCCATTTACAGTGGCTCAGAGGTGGAAGGAATCAACACTAACATATCTGTCCAGCTGATCCACAAAATCAGAGTGCTGGAAAAAGGATTTCCTTATAATCCCAAATGATCATTTTCTGCCTGAAAATTTGAGACCCAAGTAAAACTGACACAAAATTTCATTTTGTTCCTTTATGTAACCATTTTATATTTTTTCCTAAATATATTAGTATCCATGATTTTCTGGGCTAAGCTATCTGACTGAAGTAAATACATTTATTTCCATTCATATGTCCCTTGCAATACTGTGATGTTCTGAAACTGCCTCAGGCAGATCGTGGTGCTGAATGAGAGAGGTCAGTAGAGAATTACTCCCTTTTCACTTTGCTAATCACATCACTCTCGTTTTGTCACAGTTTTTCTGATGTGACAGCTTGGGGCCAAAACAGCTCTAGGAAAGCTGCGCTCTGCTAACAAACCCAGAAAGGTGCAAGCCAGTTGTGGCCAGTGGGAAACTGGTTTGATGTCCAAGAAGGATAAATGGGTCACCCTCTTCCCTCCCTGCAGTGGTCTGTGAGCCCAGGCTGTGCCCCTGTGCCAGCTGTGTTCCAGTGGCACATGGTGACTCTGTCCTCAGTAAGTCTTGGGAGGCCTCTGCAGGATTTGAAAATCCATTAAATTGCCAGTGATGGATTTATCACCACACTTGTGAAAGCCTCTGAAAACACAGACAGTGCAGGGGAGCTGAGGGAATCAATAAAGCAGCCCAGCATAACCAGTGGATTTCCAGGCATGGGTGTGTTGGAGGGAGCACCAGAAGGAACAAACTTCTGATAAATTCACTGCAATATTAGATACTGTCAAAGGCAACACCCCAGAATGCTGAGAGGGTTAAAGGCACAGGAGATATCATGTTGTGCTTTGATATCTTGCACTCTAATTAGAAGTGAGGGCAGAGGTGACTTTTGAAGAAATCACTCCCTTTCCAGATATGGGGCTACAAAATCCAGGATGATTACAAGAACTGACAAAGGATAATAATAATCATACAGCTAATTAGGATAGTGCTGTTCAGGGCAAGGGTATCAGAGCACTTTGCTAGTTCTATTACCTTTCCACCACACCCCAGAGTAGATCAATAATTCAGTATAACCAGGTATGAGAAGGACAGAACATGGAGGTGCCAGAGAATCCCAAAATCCTGATCTTCCTCTAAAACACAGCTGCATACTTACCCTGCAGCCTCAGGCAGTCAGGGGAAGCCAAACCTTACAGGTGTGTCAATGGGCACACATGAGTTAAACAGGCTTTGGTGGGGAAAAACCATACACAGGGTTTTATTGAGACAGGTAACAGGTCACATCCTTCTTTACCACTTACTTCATCAACAAAGAGCTGTGCAAAGGTTTGATTTTCCTCACTGCTGTTATTGCTAAATCCTGGAGAGTATTCCATGTTTGTTATCCGAACTGTGCCACTGAGTTTCTGGAAGGCTGCAAGGTAAGAGAAAAAGACAATTTCTATCCCATGTGCTTTATGGGCTGCAGTCCATGGACAGGTGTGTCACAGTGTCCAGCATCCCTGGCCACATGCATTCACTCATAGCAGAGGCAGGCCAGTCCTCTGAAATGTAGCCCAACCCCCAAAAGTCTAAAAAGAAATCCTCCAGCATCTTAGTGTGCTCTGTCCGAGCTCCAAAAGCTCTCAAGAAAGGCAGTGACCTCCTGGAGGTCTCACATCTGCCAGCTCTGCCTTGGATGCTCGGGGATGTCTGGAATGTTGCTCTATCAGGCACTGGATTTGCTGTCCCAGGCTCAGCTGGCTGTCCCACCAGTCCCTCCAAAGGGAAATCATTGCAGCACCAAATCCTCCCTGCAGCCTCAGAGGAAGGCTGGGCTGCTGCCTGAGCTTACATATCTACACTTTGGACAGCTGTGGTGGGATGAGATGAATCCCAGCAGGGTGTACCCTTCCCTCCTAGTTCACATCTGCTGAATGACATCAAGGCAGACTCAAATATTTGTGTTTATTTCCTGATTTCTCAGTGTTTCCCAGTGTCTCTGGGTTTGGCGTTGTCACTACAGACACTGAAGTGATCAGAGAGCAGAGAAAGGGCTTCTCAAGGCATGGTTTGTGCCCCTGGCATCCATTTAGTGATGACTGCAATCATCCAAAGCTGTGACCATTGCCAGCAAATTGCCTTCACTCTGCCCCCAGCTCTTAACAAATCATCACTCCTGGCACAGCAAAACCTGATGTTTCAATGGTTTATACAAATACAGGATTTTCTTCACTAAAAACCTCAAGAACTTTATCATCTGGCTATGAATTCAGTTAAAAATTCCAAATCAAGTCACCAGTCTTTACTTTCTGGTGCAGCAACCTGCTCTCCTCCCTGCACACACCTGACTGCACCTCCACAGGGTATCAGGCACCAGGTTCCAGCTCTGAGACTGTCTGACTCCTATACTCAGTTTTAATCTGCCTTTTTAGCTGCTTTCTTTGAAGCAGAAGGAATTCCAAAACTCTGCAAAAACTCCGTGGACCACTTTACACCCAAGTTCTACTCATATTGGGAAAATAATCATTTGGACTAGGATAGGTGCTGAAGGAAAATAAATAGTAATCAGGTAAAGCTTTATAGGGGAGGGAAGAAATGCCTGCTTGAAGCAGGCCACTGGAGGAGGGTTCCTTTATCCCAGCTTAATTCTGATCCCAAAGGAATCCTTACCACCAACAGTCAGATCAAAGGATTTGGGCTTGCTTTTTGACATGGCTTGTCCTATCATGTGAACACAGGCATTCATGGGATAAAACACATTCAGTTTTAGAGGGGAAAATATTCTGAAAAATTCTCAAATAATAGTATTTAAAAGACCAGACTATGAAGAGTTGTCTGAGGCTGAGCCTTCAGGTCAGAGATGAGGCCACAAGGATGAGCTGCATATGAAACTTCACCAAAGATGGGCTTTTGCCCTCTGAATTTCCTGCACCAGGCTAGTGAGATGCTACTCTGGTGGTTCTTTTTCTTATTTCTTAGGCATAATCCCTTCACAAGCTTCTTTTCCAGCAAAAGCATTTGGTTGAATATTTGATTTCTCAGGAATATAAAACAAGTTTTTATAAACTGAACTCCTTTTGTGTAGAATTCTTCAGGGTTTTTTTCCAGCTGGGAACAGCCTTTATGTGGCTTTTTGCCAGTTAAAATTACCTAATTTTATGCTTAATTTTTTTTCATTAGAAAAACCCCAAGCACCATTTTTAGGAGGAGAGAAGACAGTAGCTGAGCAGGGTATTGACACAGCTGCCCAGGGCAGGGCAGGATGACAGGAGGGGACACCTGGTGAGCAGGGTTGGGGGGACAAGAGAAGCTGGAGAAGCAGCAGAACGTGGCTGAAAAAGGCATTTTCCAGGGAGGAAGGAATGGGGGAACATCAGAAGTGGGGCTGGATGAGTGGAGACCACCAGGAACACGAGATCACAGGGGAGGGGGAGATAAAAGAGCAGAGGGAAGTGTGGCTTGGGATCAGAGAGATGTGGAGGGCATGAGAGACAGAATAAAGACTAGCAGAAGCAAAACTGAAATAACCAAACTGAACAATGACACAGTACAGAAAAAAATATACATTGTGATGGGCAGAGACAGCAGCATTCCTATCCCAAACAGAACTGTAATTTTAAGACCAAATCTGACTCTCTGAACTATGATTCAGCTCCAATCAACAGAAAAATCCCCTAATTAGCTGCAACACATCTACCCAAACCCAGATTAAACCTTCACCAGCCTTGCTGCTCTCAATTGCATCTCTTGAAGCAGTGTCTCTCGGGTTTCCAGGCAGCTCCTGCCTCACAGGGGATTTACGGAGAACTCTGACTAATCATCCCCTGCTGAGAGCAATGGGAAGACATGTCCTTTTCCTCCCTGGCTCCCTAAATTAACTCCACAGACAGCTGCTGCAGATGTGTCCTGGTGCCAGAGGCTGCAGGAAAAACCAGGATGTGTGGCAAAAGGACGAGCAGCAAATGTTGCCATGAGCCATGCTCAGTGCACTCTTTTTTTTACGTGCTTCCTCCTCTTGAAGAAATGTAACATCAATAAAAGCAACTGCTAAATTGCCAGGAAGAGGAATTGCTTTCACAAGCTGATTTAGCAAAGAGAAAGTGCCAATTTCTGCAGAAAATATTATTGACATAGAAAAAATTGCAGGCACCAGGAAAATAATTTTGACATTGAAAAAATAGTTTTAGATGCCTTTTTATGAGCTCCTAGCGAGGTTTTGCTTCTCCCCCAGGTGAATTCCCACACGTGCAGATCCCACGGGATGAGTACTCACTGTGGTTCTGGCTGGGGGCTGGAGAGGTGCCTGGCAAATCTGGTGACCCCAAGGCTGCAGAGTGTCTCTCAGACCAAGAGCTGTTCTCCCTTGCCACCTGTCCATCTGCTCTGGGGGTGGCAATGCCAGCGGTCCCTGTGGCCAGCAGAACTGTGGTGGGGCCAGCTGGAGAGCTGCCTTGGGGCACAGCAGCAGCTGTGCGAGTGCTGCTGGCACCTGAGGCTGCTTGATTTGGAAAGAGCCACAGGGAGCCGAGCTGCTCCTGCCCAGCTGCGCCCACGGCTGCGTTTGGGACAGCGGCTTTGGCCACCAAGTGTGGGCTCGTGGCCACCGTGCCCACGGCCAGCGCCCTGCTGGGGGTCACCCCCACGGCCACGGGGCTGCTGGCCCTGCTGGAACCCATCTGTGGGGCCAGGCTTGTCTGTGGGGCCAGGCTTGTCTGTGGGGCCAGACCCGTCTGTGGAGCCAGACCCATCTGTGGGGCCGGACCCGTCTGTGGGGCTGGATCCGTCTGTGGGGCCAGACTTGTCTGTGGGGCCAGGCTAATCTGTGGGGCCAGGCTAGTCCGTGGGGCCAGGCTAGTCTGTGGAGCCAGGCTAGTAGTCCGTGGGGCCAGATCCATCTGTGGGGCCAGACCCGTCTGTGGGGCCAGACCCGTCTGTGGGGCCAGATCCATCTGTGGGGCCAGATTCGTCTGTGGGGCCAGGCTTGTCTGTGGGGCCAGACCCGTCTGTGGGGCCAGACCCGTCTGTGGGGCCAGGCTTGTCTGTGGGGCCAGACCCGTCTGTGGGGCCAGGCTAATCCGTGGGGCCAGGCTAGTCTGTGGGGCCAGGCTAGTCTGTGGGGCCAGACCCGTCTGTGGGGCCATGCTAATCTGTGGGGCCGGATCCGTCTGTGGGGCCAGATCCATCTGTGGGGCCAGGCTAATCTGTGGGGCCAGACCCGTCTGTGGGGCCAGATTCGTCTGTGGGGCCAGACCCGTCTGTGGGGCCAGACCTTTGTGCCGAGGGGTTGGAGGAGCGCTGGTGGCCCTGTGGGACGCCAGTTTGTCCCCCAGGGCCGGCGCAGCAGGGACGAGCGTGGCGGCGCTCGACGTGAGGCTCGTGGCTGTGGGAGCAGGGCCTGCAGGGCTTCTGCCTTCTTCAGGAGGCAAGTCTGTGCTGGTTCTCATTTCAGTGAGAGGAGCCACAACCTCACCTGCAACAAAATAAACACACCCTGAAATGGGGCCTCTATTGTAAATGCAGGCGAACTCAATGGGAAGAAATAATGATGTCTGACTCAATTCAGAAGGCTGAATTATTTCTTTATTATAGCTGTGCTAAAATACATTAATATACTATATAAAAAGGAGGATACTAAAACTACATACTACTTTCTCTGACTCTATCTCACAACTTGTAACACTTTGTCTCATGTCCAGCCCCAGGTGGGTTGGATTGGCCATCATGCCCAAACAATCCTCACCAGAATCCAACCAAGCAATCACTCCAAGTAAACAATTCTCCAAACACATTCCACATAGGAAAAACAAGGAGCAGAAATATAAATTGTTTTCTCTTTCATTTCTCTCTGTGCACCTCTATGAAACATCTTGAGAGGGAGAGAAATGTGATTGCCACAGGCCTCAAACTGGATGAGGAGGCACCAGGACCTGGACTGAAAATGGCACCAAGGGTGCTCAACCACCCCTGGCAGCATTAAAAAGCAGGTCTTGTCTGGTCATGAACAGAGTGAAGAACATGTGATTTTTATGGGGTTAAATCTGATTTGGGCTGCTACAAAGAAATAAATTTGATTCTTGGGTCTCCTGTTCTGGTTGGCAAAGCTGTGGATCAATTTGGTGGGAGTACATCATTAGCCACAGACATAGCAAAAGAGGGAAAAATATTCCTTGCACTTATCAGGCTTATCAAGGAAGATTTCACCTGAATTTGTTTATTTATACAATAAACCTAATACATATATATATATATATATATATACATATATATATATGTATATATATATACATGAATACATATATATATACACACACATATATACATAGTTAGAGACAGGTCACCCCTTCAGCCACAGACTGCAAAAGTGCAATTATATGAAGAGATGCTATAAAAGCAGATGTAAAACCCCACAACTTATTCCAATGTTTCATGGCAAAAAAACAAAAACAAAAAACCAACCAAACCCAAAAAAAACCAAAAAAACAAAACAAAACAAACAAACAAACAAAAAAAAAAAAAAACCCAAACCCTACATGCCAGCCTTTTTCTCACCCTCACAGTTTCTTCCAGGTCGGGATGGATTGGTATCCATGGTTGTCTTGCACCTGCACATGTAGGAGCCCATCAAATTGATACATTCTGCCAACACAGAGCAGTCATTCTCAGCTTGGGAAGCACATTCATCCCAGTCTGTGGGACCAAAACAAGAACAAGGGTCAGACAGCCTCCCTGCTGGCTGCATTAAGCTAGAAATAATCATTAAGTAGTCCTTTTTTAATTTACTTATATGGTCTTCCTTTTTCATAATTTACTTGTCAGCCAATCTTTGAGTGATGCAGAACACTATCTGTTTTATTATTCTCTTGTTCTTGTATTCTGAAAAGTAATTTCTCTGAGTAAAGACTTTTTAAATCATTGTTTTTAGAGGTAAACACATGCTGTAGGTTTGTACTACAATTATATCAAAATCACTCACTTTACCAAGTTCTGTGTACAGCACCTCCAGATATATGAGGTAATTAATAGATCTGTTACTACTAGCTACCGGTAGATAAAACATTAAATAGAAACTTAATCCAAATAATCTTCTGCTTCAAATGAAAAGTAAATGCTAGTAACTCCCACGGGAAGCACTATTCTGTTCTTAACAGAGGAAGTGCTAAGGGCAAAATCTCTTTTTATACAATTTTTCTTTTCAAAAGTAATGCTGTAGGACTGTGACCCTCTTTTTGGTCGTGTCAGAAAAGACATCCTGATTCATCAATGCAAAAAGATGTTCTAAGGATGTTCCTTATGTCTGATTTCAGGTGCTCTGTATCAGTTAGAGATGTCTTTTTATGCAGTTATGGACCTATATTATTGCTGAGTCTCTTCTCTTTTGAGGGATTTATATCTGGAGTCTTGTGTTGCCATTCACACCCTGTTCCAGCAAATCTTCCAGGGCTGATTTAGTCCTTTGGACAGGAATAATTCCTGTGAATCCCAGGTGAGCCCTCCCTGTGTGAGTGCCTTGTGTATTCACCTCCTGCCTCAGGGCCTGAAAGAGGGAGAGCAGCAAATGAGGCTAAAAACTGTGTCTTGGAACAAATAATCTGATCAGAGGCTAGAAAATTGTTCTGAATAACAAATTAACATAAGTGCTTGTTCTGCAAAACTTGCAGATTAATGATGGTGATTATTTCTCTGAAACAAAGGAACGTCCTATTCCATGTGCATGCACATACACACACTCATCTTTCTGCTTGCTTTTCCTTCCTTCTAGCTAATATTTCAATTCTTTTCACTTTGTCATTGGGTAATTGCTGTGTCCATGATAGTCTCCATTAGACAATTTCACATGCCTGTGGCCAGCAGTTGCCTATTATATTCCAGCCTAAGCCACTTAGAGGGAATGCAGAAATGTGCAGGATTGACTGAACACCAGAGATTAAATCTCATTAATTCCTAACTGTGCTATGAAATAATTGTGACCCTTGGTGGCTTCCAACGCCATCTGAGAGATACTAATTGTCAAATCACTTACATTCACTGCCTCCATTGTCTCTGAGGGTTTCCTTTCTCCTCACTTAGCACAGCTTTTAAAGCAAATTCCTTCACCTCTGATGGCACATTCAATAATGCATCAGGTCAAAACGCTGGCACTGACTGGTGCATCACTTGTGCACTTACACACACACACACACACACACACACACAACACACACACACTGCACTATTTTCCTCTCCAAACCATCACATCCCAGCCAAGGTCTGTTCTGAACTCTCCTTCTGCACTCTTGACACCTCTCTGGCCCTTCACATTTAGCACTTCCCTACACAGACCTCAACCAACACTCCTAGTCCAAAAATTATTAAAATGCCATCTTGGTGTTCACTCTGATTACCTATTATACACCTGTAAGGGGTACATGCAAAGGATAAAAATCTGTGAGATTCCTTGCCAAATGAAGTTGCAGATGCTAAAGATTGTTCTGGTTTGATGGGGGATATTCATGGGGGATAAACAAATCCAAAGAATTCTCTCTGGATTCAGGGAGTTGCGGAGCTGAAAACAGTTGCTGGCTAAGGGATTATTTGTGGGAGGTGATGCCTTCTCCAAGAACTGGCTCCTGGCTGGGACATTGTGCTAGAAGGATCTTGGTCCTGACTCAGCACACATCCCTTTCTCTTCTCTTACCATGCCCCACAAAACAGATTTTATTGTCTCTATTCATCACAGCAATAAACTTAATAATTTATGGACCTTCAAAGAGATCTGATCCACTCCCTTCAGTTGTGCTGTCCCTTCTGACTTCTCCTCCCTGCTTTTCACAGTTGACTGGACTGTCACTAAGCCAAGCACAAAGTCTGGTTCTGGCCAGGCTGCAGGGAGGATCCAGGGACAGGGTTTGGGTGGATTGATTGTCAAAGGTCATGTCCTGGGGCTCTCCAGGGTCAGGAAGGAAATCACCCCATTATATAAATCCTTCCTTTGTGTGTTTCACTCCTTATTTTCCACTTAGGAAATTCATGTTGAAGAAACTCTCTTTGGGTAAAGCTGAGAAATAAACCCCTTTTCTCAGCCCCTAAGGAGGAGTGGAGGTGTTGGCTGTGCCCCTGGATAAGTGTGGTGCTACTGGAAGCCACCAGGTTTTCTGCAGCTAAAGTGACAATCCAGAGCCATCACCTTCTTCTTCCTCAACCTCTTGGTCCCAGGATCAATAACATTTACAAAATATTTTGGCACACATCAGCCTCTTGCAATTCAGTCTCAGCTGCCACTGTGTTATTTGTAGCCTTTAAGTGTGATTTGTCTCCTGTTTTTTTTCCTGTCCTGTTGTTCTTAACCTGCATATGCTCTGCAACTCCAAAGGGAGTTTTTCCTGCTCAGAAAGGCTCAACACACTAAGAGAGAAGAATAACCCATTCTGTTGGCTTTGGCAATTTTCTGAACTCTGCTGTCTCTGCCAGCTGGGAAACCTGAGGACAGAACTCAGTCCTTTGAAGATAAAAGTGGTGATTACTGAAGATCAAACAAAGGCCTGGTTTAACATAAATTCCATGCATGTTTCTGCAGTCCTATTCACAATAAGGACATCTGGGAATTCCTCTGGCTGGGTTTCTAGAGGGAAGATGTTAGATTACTTAAACCTTGGCCCAAATATAGTCCCCCTATCTTGGAACACAAAACTGTCTAGAGGCAGTTCTGGGATCTAAAAGCTACAGATATTCCACAGTAATCCTGTCTGCCATTCAGCTCGAGAAAGATATGGCAAACTTCCAGCTGGGGCAGAGTGGAGAGGGAGGAAAATGAACAGGGAAACCAAGGGCTCCACTTGGGTTAACCACAGTGAGGAGAAGCAGTGCCTGCAGGTGCCTGGGGGCAGCCAGTGCTCCTTTGTCTGACCCTTCTGGGCTTATGGATAAAACCCCTGGAAGAATTCTCACATCATGGTTTTCTATCCAACCACATCCTTTCTTTTTCTATTTTGTGAAGAATATTGGTCATACTGCACATGATCAAAACACAAACACTGCTTTCTTCTTTGAAAAAAATAATAACAAAAATCACCTTTCACTGCAGTGTTTTGCTGATCCACCACAAGCACAGAGCCATTGTGCAGGGAGGAAAGCACTGGGGCAAATGTGGATGCATCCACTGGAAACTTGGGATCCTGCACGGTGATTCTGAGCCTCACAATGAGGCTTCCTGCTGCCAGGGATTCAATCTGCACTTTCAGCTTCCCAGATTTGTACAAGGCAGAAATGTTGGGTGGAAATGAATTTTCAAGCTGAGCAAAGAGAAAGAAGCATTGACAATTAGGGAGCCAACTTTAAATATTTATGTAAGCACAACATAGAAGATGCTGGAAAAATAAAAGTTCCAAAGTGTTTGAGAAACCTTATTTTTCAGAGATTACTGTAATGCAAGTCTCCTTGGTGCAACCCTGCTGAGAAGGACTTGGAGGTGCTGGTGGATGAGAGGCTGGGCATGCCCTGGCCATGTGCACTGGGACCCAGAAACTCTCTGTGTGCTGGGCTTCACCAAAATCAGAGTGGGCAGCAGGAGAGGGGGTAATTCTGCCCCTCTGGCCCCCCTGCAGAGCTGCCTCCAGCCCTGGGGCCCAGCACAGGAAGGATGAGGAGCTGCTGGAGCCAGTCCAGAGGAGGCAGCAGGATCTGCTGTAGGAAATGCTGAGAGAATTGAGATTGTTCAGCCTGCAAAGCAGAAGGCTCTGGGGAGACTTAATTGTGACCTTCCAGTACCTGAAGGGAACTTACTGGAAAGATGAGGCAAGACTATTTACAAGGGCCTGGAGTGACAGGACAAGGGGGAATTACTTCAAACTGACAGAGAGTAGGGTTAGGTTAGATATCAGGAAAAACTTCTTTTTGCTGAGGCTGGTGAAGCCTTGGCACAGGTTACCCAGAGAAGCTGTGGATGCCCCATCATTGAAAGTGTCCAAGGCCAGGTTGGACAGGGTTCTGAGCAACTTGATCTGGTGGAAGAAGTTCCTGCCTATGCCAGGGGTTTGGGACTGGATGATCTTCAGGGCCTTTTCCAACCCAAAACATTCTGTGATTATATAATTCTATGATAGCTCTGAAAACTGTATCCATCTGACCACTGGTCTTACAAACCAAGTTCCAAATTTTGGCTCAAGGGTGAAGAATTCCCCCTGGCCCTTTTTGCCTGCACCAGAGCTGAACTGTCCTGGTAAGTGCATGCAGCAGAGCCTTGATGTTATCTCTGTATGTCACATATACATTTTGTTTCATTTACAACTGTGGGCATGGCTTTAGTTCCCAGGGAGCATTTGGAACTCTCCAGTTCAAGCTCAGTCTGAGTCCAATAATAAAGAAACCTCAGGATGAGAGCCAAGAAAAATGGAGGTGGGTAACTCCAAAAACCGTGTTTGAGACAGCCCAGCTTCAAGGCAGCATCACAATTACATCATGGTTAATTACCATACCAGTGAGTAGTCACTTCAGCTGAACAAACAGCATTGCTCTGAGCACTGAAGCTGGCACACTGCTGTCAATATTTGAGCTGTGCAGGAGCTGGCAGTTTCACCTTACATGTCTAGCAGGCAGCTTCTTGCTTGAGCCTTTTCTTCCTGCATACACCTCCAATTGTGCCTTTGAGCACGAATCCAGAGCCATAAATCAGCACAGTTTTGCTCCCATTCAGTCAGAGCTTGCTCAAAAAGATTCCTACAAACAAGCTGTGTAGCTGGTCTAAGCTCACATCAGGGTAGAGAGGCAAGAAAATGAGGAGAGAAGAAACGAGAGGGGGATATTGTGCCCACAAACACCCAAGGAGGCAGAAGCAACAGAGATGGGCAGTGCTCCTTTTTCTTCCCATCCTGATGAAGCCAATCAGGTCTGCATTCATCTCGGAGAGGACTCACTCACCAAAATGTTCCTACACACCAGAAGTGAACAAATTGCAACTGTGGGAAATAAAGCCATGTGAGGAGGTTCAACTAGCAATTTCTGTTGGACAAATGCCTCTTCTCTGCTGCTCTTAAATCTATAGCTCCATTATTGTTTTGGGTTTTTCTCTTGCATTTAAATTCACACATGGTTACCCTTTGTTTTGGGGAAGCCTTGTGCTGGGTGGAGATGCCAATTCCTCTGTATGGGCCCTGTTCTGTGCAGCAAAACTGTAGGAGATTGCTCCATCTGAAAACTCCCCCTTTTTTGGGAAGCTCAGAGCTGCCACCAGACTTCATGACTCAAGTTTTGTTTCTGGCTGATTACACCTGACTGTGGAGAGTGGCCACGTGTGCAGGCAAGGAATGGGGCTGGAGAAGAAAGGCTGATCCAGACACTTTCCCTGAAAGAGGAAAGAGAGCAGGCAGAGAACTATTTATTTGAGAGGAGTAAGACATTTATTGAGCAGACTGTGCTGAAATGAATGCCAGGAATGCCATTTCAATAATCCATTTGAAAGCCTCAAGTTAATTTACTGTGAGTTTATTGCCAAATTAAAGATTCACTGAAAGAGCCTCTCTTGCATGCCTGCATTTGTAATTCCTTCACTCTTCTGCAAGGGAAAATTCTCACTGGCTTCATTGCTAACAAGGCCAAGGGCTTGATCTGTCTGGTGTGTTGTAATTATAAAGAAAGGTCACAGGAAATAGAATGCTGATTTTGAAGGAATATTTCATCCAGGCATAAAATCTTCTATTACATTAAATAAATTTTACATTGAAAAAAAAAACCCAAACATATGTATTACACAGAGATGTAGTCATTTTACCTCTGTAAGCAACAGCCTTGAAAATTCCTCATATGCTAAGCTGCTGGAATTATGGAAATCATCAGTGAAGTTGTAGTTGAGAATCCTCATAGTAACAGCAAATATCTTGGCCTCTGTAAAGCACAACATTAAAATATGCTGACAAAATAGGAATGAATTCAGTTAAAATTTATCTATGTGGACCAAAATCTCAGTTGATGGAAGAAAAGAGGTCAAGATTGAGAGATTTTGGTATTAAATAAATAAAAAAAAAAAAAAATCCAACAGGCTCCTACAAACTTCTGATACATTGAGAAGATGCACTTATATCAGGTCTAAAGAGATCTTTTGGTGCCTAATTGCAACTGCATGAGAGCTGGGTATACACATACTTTATGTGTGGGTTTACACATACCTGGGTCTGGCCCTACATAACTCCTGCCTTGAAGCTGCACCCAGGGCTGAATTACTCATGGGCTCATCTCTGGCTTACCAGTCACAGTTTTTATTTATTTCTTTTCCTGATCTTGGTAGTGGGGATAGTAAATATATTTTTAAACTGAAAACACAACAAAAAGCTGTGCATTCCCCTGGTGTGTGTGGTGAGCCCTGACAGATACTGTACAGAGCACAGGAGCCAAAACCAAGAGCCAAGGAATCTATAACTGCTTTATCCTGTATAAACACTCCCAGGCTGTTATTCCTTGGACTAATCCTTGGAAAATTTTCTTTTTTCAAGGGCTCCAACTTCATACTCTGAAGTCCAGCTCTCTGTTTTCGTAACCACTAGACCTCCTGCTATCCCTCCACAAAGAGAGTAATTTCCTTCTGACCCAAACTGGAGTCATCCCTCATCTCATCAAAGGGAAGGCTCTTAGGGATAAACATGAACAGCAGCATTCCCACTGTGGTCAGTAATAAAGAGTTCACTGTCTGCTCTTTGAGAAAAAGGGGAGAGATTTATTTCTTTATTTGCATGGAAGCCTAGGAAATAATTTAAGGCTAGAGAAAAATCAAAATTATGTTTGATCAACACACTAGGACCTCAGGAAGCTCCCACCATCAGTTAATTGAACAGAACTGGGCAGACAGTCTGCAGCCCTCTTACTCAGTCCTTGTAATTCTCTTTAATCCTTTATTCAGCAGAATCTGCCCTTCCTCTGGGCACTCTTGTTAGCTCAGCTGAGCCCTTGACAAACCAGTTGCCTTGATTTCCCTCTGGCCACAGCCATCAACCATGGATAAATGACCTGCTGGGACATGGGTGGCAGAAAGCAGTGCCAGGCATCAAAGAAATAAATTTTTAGAAAAGAATTAAAGCTTAGCTTGATATCTGTAATAGTCTAATCAGATCCAGCACTGCTTTATCAGCTAAGGCCAAAGTTCTGCTGCTTGATATTCTGGGTGAATAAATGCTGGAGTAGATGAGATAAAAAGTGCTAAAGAAGTGAGGATTAAATGGTCATTGCTGAACTGCAAGTGAGTGGGGATGGAAGGAGGCGAAGGGAGAAGATAGAGATCTACTATATTATATATATACGTATTTTAAAGTGTTTCTTTACCTGTTTTAACATTTTGACGGGAGATCATGGTTTTTCCACAAGTTTCATAGCTGATCTCTACTGAATACATCACACCTGCTTCCAGGTGAGACACATCCATTTGCATTTCCTCTGTCTTGAGGTTTTGCACAGTTTCATTGCCCTTGGCCACCCGGACTTGGAAAGTGTGGTTCAGAGTAGAACTGACAAGCCAGGACATTTCAAAGCTGTTGCTGGTAACACTGAGGATTCGATGGTTTGTAACTGCAGAGGGATCTGTTGCAAGAAAACAGCAGCAAGAGTTGGCACAGCAAAAGCAACATTTCACTTTTAATGCCTTCTGCTGTTCTAAATCCACTAGAGACAAGCACTCTGACAGTCAATAGGGTCAGGATAGAATCTTCCCCTCTCACACCAGCAGATGCCTTCATCCACGAACCATCCCACTAGAATGACACATTTAGTATTTAACCTTTTTATTTCCTTTTACTATATGCACTTCTGTTGAATCATAGAATCACTGAATAGTTTGGGCTGGAAAAAGCCCTAAAGATCATCCAGTTCCACCTCCTGCCATGGGCAGGGACACCTTCCACTAGACCAGGCTGCTCTGAGCCCAGTCCAACCTGGCCCTGAACACTGCCAGGAATGAGGCAGCCACAATCCCTCTGGACAACCTAATCTCCTCCAAATCTCTAATCACATAAATAATCAGCCAGCGAGCTACAGGTGCAAGCAACAGGAATAAATTTGGAAGAGTGACTTTGGGTATTCTACATGTGTTGGCACCTACTTTAATCACCAAAATGCCTCCATTCAGGCAAAGCTTGCCTGGATTTATCCTGGAACACCTCCCAGACCCCAGCTAACAGAGGCTGAGGGAGAGTGGTGTACAACACTTCACCTGTCATTCCTCTCTAGCCCAGTGCAACCTTTGTCATGTCAATGGGAAAAGACAGGGCCCTTCAGAGGTGATTCCTGTCCTGGGAGGAGGAGGTGTTTGAGCTGGGTAGGATGAGCTGCCCTGCAGCAGAGCCAGTCTGTCTGGCTCAGGAGAGAGAGAAAGCCCAGACAAGACACCTCTGCTGGAGAGAGCTGGGGCCAGGAGAGATGAGCATTACCACCATGCTAACCCAGAGATGCTGCCACAGCTTCAAGTCTTTCATGCTAATGGTTAGACTAAGGAGAAAAGGTTGTTTTCATAAATTGCCTCATTAGAACACTATTGTTTCCAGCACTCTGAGCCAAACACCCCCAAAGCCACTCCCTATTGTAAATGCAGTTGAACCCAATGGGAAGAAATTATGATGTCTGACTCAATTCAGAAAGCTGAATTATTTCTTTATTATAACTATGCTAAAATACATTAATATACTATATAAAGGAAGATACTAAAACTACATACTACTTTCTTTGACTCTCTCACACAACTCGTGACCCTCTCTGAGAGACCAGCCCCAGGTGGGTTGGATTGGCCATCAGGCTCAAACAATCCTCACCTGAATCCAATCAAGCAATCACCCCAGGTAAACAATTCTCCAAACACATTCCACATAGGAAAAACAAGGAGCAGAAATAGAAATTGTTTTCTCTTCCATTTCTCTCTGTGCACCTCTATGAAAAATCCTGAGAGGGAGAGAAATGTGCTTGCCACAGCTCCCCACTGCACTAGAGGGGCCTCAGTTTAATTCCTCTGGCTTCAGCTTTGATCAGAAGTTGTGGATGAAGTTCAAGAATACCCAGCCTGTCTCTCTGAACTCTCAAACAACAACTTAAATCTATTTCCTCCCACAGAAGAACAGGGTGTTGTTCAATGGATTGTAATAACTCTTGCCTGAAAGGGCTGGATCACCCATATAAACACAAATCTACTGAGGTTTGTTCCCATCACAAATCAAGAAATCATTTATTAAAATCCAAGGTTACTTACAGCACCCAGCATCTGTAGATGGGTTGGTTATGGACAAGAGACTTGATTTCCTTAGAGAAGGAGAGCTACTGCCAGTGTTAACAGCATTTACTGAACTTGGAGTAGATACTACAATGCCTAGAGGAAAATCACATTATCAGAGTTAGAGTATTTCTAAGAAAATAAATCCAAAATAATACCATTCAGGTTTTCCACATGAAAAACAGCAATGCAGTAATACAAATAAAAAAGTTATCATATCACAAAAGCATAAAGTAGTACATTATCTCCATTTTTGAGCTTAAGGGATTGTAGGATTGTTTTCTAATTAAAGCATTGAATCTGCAAGCAGTTATTCATCTCATTATCTTAAAGCCTATTAGCAGGCACATTGATGTCTGTGGGCTGAAAGTATATTTTGCTGAACTGGTACCACAAGGAATTATTTCAGCCAGTGCCAAACTCCAGCTGCTTGCAGCAGAGAGCTCAGCAGCAGTGCAGGAGCTCAGGGTGGGATCATACAACCACTGAGTCAGGGCTGCAATCAAAACAGGAAAAAATGAAAATGGTAGAAATAATGCCACTAATTTTTCCTCAAGAGGCTGGGGAGGTGCACTGACAAGTGACTTGCTCTGAGAAGCAGTAGGGTCTGAAGCTTTAGCTTTTGGCAGATGAGTGAGGACAGCTCAGGGTGAAATAGAGGAAACACAAGGATCTGTGAAATAAATACTCTGCATTTCCATCAGAAACAGGTAACAGGTTTATGTGGCATTTTCTCCCAACAGGAGGAGAAGGGGCACTCATGCTCCAGAAATTCCTGCAGGTGTCTCCTGCAAAGGAGCACAAAGTCCTGCAGGAACATCCTCAGCACTTCCCAGGGTGAGACCTACATTTCTTACCTTCCTTCCTTGGGCTCAGCCAGTGAGGGATGCCAGTGGCATGTTCAAGCTGATGGTGGCAGCTGTAATAACCCTCCAGGTTCACACAGCTGCTTTTCTCAGGGCAGGCATTGAATTCAGCATAGGAGCATTCATTGACATCTAGGAAGAGCAATACACCTTGTACAGATATTGGGAGCAGCATCAAAATAAATCTGTACTGTGTGTAGACCAGGCTCTGGCTATGATAAATTCAGTGTAAATCTGCAGTAATGCTGTTAAAACCATTCTGGATGTTACCACCCTATCACTTTTTATCCCAATTCTTTGGAATTAGAGGACAATTAGGGGCAGCTTCAAATTAGGGTGCCATCCAAACCTGAGATGTCAGCACAGGCGGAAGGAGGACTACCCAGTGATTTCACTGAAAACAGTAAAAAAACTGAGTAAACACAGAATAAGAATAATGCATTTCTGGAGTGAAAACGTTCAGACAACTGCAGAGCAATAAGTAGCTTGATATAATTTAAAATTAATATATTGAAATGTTTATGTAACATTTAAAAATTATGTAGTAATATGCTATAGTAATTAACAGACTATAAATATGACTTGTTTCATACAAGCTACTGGAAGTAACATGGCAACAGAATATCTGCTTCCCAAGAAAACAGATTTTTTTAAGAGCCTGTTTAATACAACTAATGATTGTGCTACAAATATGCACATATTTGCTTTTTCATCTGAAAAATTATGTTACTGGGAGAAAATAAATGTGAGGGTTCAGAAGTGTTCCCTTCCAAACTATTCACTCCAAAATATATATATATTCACTCCATTCTATAACAGAAGGGTCAGGGCCAGGTTTGCAGTTTGCAAGATCCTCTGTGCTATCTTTGAAAGCAAATTAATGGTTCTATAAATGAGATGCCAAGTGAGGAGGGACGAAAGCCCCTAAAATGTGAGAGGATTACAGTCAGTGACCTTGCACTTGTGTGTCAATCACTTCATACACACGCTTCACCATGGCCTTCAGGGAGGAGGAAACCTCTGCCAGAGGAGCTGGGTGCTGCGTGCCCACGAGAAGCTGGGAGGTCACTGTCCCAGCGTAGATGTCCCCAGGGTTGCTCTGGATGTGGTGCACAGAGGCATTCAGGGGCTGCAGTGCACCAGTGACCTGGAAAACAGGGCAGCAAACATGGCTCAATTCCCAGCACATGAATTATTCAGTGCTTATTATCATAATCTGAGTGTAGAAAGCAATTCAGAAACCATGGCAAAGCGGTTCAGGCCTGTACTGATGCAAGGTGAGTTCTTATTTTCACATTTCACAGCAGATTTATGTTACAGAAATGCCAGGCTTGGGGGGTGTGGAGCTGATCTCAAAATGCTTTGGCAGAAGGAGTAACCCAGAAATAGGTGGGAAGAGTCCTGCTTTGCAAAGTCTCCATGGATTAAAGTAAATTACAGAGACCACTACAATTCACCTGCAATAAAGCTGTCCAGCACTTCTTCCTTTGAACAGCTAAATGGACTGCTGGCAAAGGGAATAGAAAGAAAAAGAGTAAAAGCCATAGACTCAGGATGAAGGGTGGGATTAAGAGAGACCAAACCATCCCAGCTGAGAGTCAGGAATGAGAGAAGGGATTTGCTGGTGGGCTGAGCATTGAGAGTCAGTGGAACAAACAGCAGGACACTCTGAGTAGCAGCTCACTGAACAGCTTCACCTCAACTCCCCATTTCCTGAGTGTTTCACTTTCTCATTGTTTATGTTAGACCAAGATGTAAAAGCCTTGGTGGATCCTTGCCCCTGCTACACAGCAACAACACCAGGGTTTCTTACTTTTTTAGGATATGAGAAGGGGAAATCAGATAGGAGGAAGAAGGACACTTTTGTTGTTATTATTTCTGTTCTCCTGCCCATCAGTGCCAGCAGATTATGGCAGATGGGTTTGTCTTGGAAAGGCTTAACTTAAAATTCCATATCAGAAAACGTCATGCTTTGAAGGTCTTGCAGTCTGATCCCAGTCTGTCACAGGCCCAAAATTGAACTGAGACAGAGTTGGAACAAGCACTGCTTAAGCAGGAAAACCCTTTATTTCAGAATGGCTTTAAATTGCCCTTGGAAGAGACCTGAAACATGTGCTGAAGAAGCTGATAAATCAATGTTACTTGAATTGCTTAAGGATGCATCTGTACATTCAGTAATCAGAAATACAGAAATAATCAGAAATAGGGCCAAAAAAAAATCAGTCTGGCAGAACAAAGGGGGAGCAAAGAGTGGCCCCTGAGTAACAGAATCATGGGCACAACGAGGGAAGAGTTTGTTTTTGTACATACCATGGAGTGCAAAAGGCGGGAATGATTCAGAAGGTGGGAATCCACCCGGGTTAATTCATTAAAATCCATTTTCACCAGCACTGTCACGTTGTACCAGAACATCCTCCCTGCAGCGTAGGAAATAAAACAGCCAAGTCATCTGAGGTCTGGTGCTGCAGAAGGTGACAGAGCTTCAGGGAGGCTCTGAGCTAACAAAGCAAGATTTCACTTGGCAAACGTGGGGGCCAGCTAGGGCCTCGTTTGCCACATGCCACAGGCAGAGAGCCAGGGAAGGAGAAGGATCCAGGGGAGGTTTGCTGGACCCACAGCACCCACACACCACTCAGTGCTCATGGGGATAGTAAAAGTGGCCCCCAACACCTGGGAAGAATGATGTTTGAACTCGAATGATTTTAGGAGGCTAATTATTATATATTATATTATATTATATTATATTATATTATATTATATTATATTATATTATATTATATTATATTATATTATATTATATTATATTTACAAGAGCTATTATTGACTATAATAGAACTATTATTAACTATTATTAACTACTTTCTTATTACTAATAAGAAAAACTTGTGACTCTGCTGAGAGTCTTGGCACAATTGTGGATTTAACTGGTTAATGAATTTAAACAACTATTACTAGAATTTAATCAAGTGACCACCTTGGGTAAACAATCTCTATACTATATTCTACATGGGCACAAACAGGGAGTAGTGAATGAGATAAGAATTGTTTTGATTCTCTTTTCTGATTTCTGCTTCTCTCAGGAGAAATCCTGAGAAACCTCTCAGTTCAGAGTGTCTCTGTTCAGAGGGCAGGTGAATACCACCCACGGGTGCAAGAAGTGAAGCTGAATCTCCTGGAACCCATCCCAGGCACAGTCCCATATTTGTTTCAGCAAGAGCTATGGTAACAGTTTTCCTGCCCACTCCCACCCTCAGGAGGGAAAATTAAGGATATTTCTATTAGAAGCAGTCTGGAATTTATCAGTAACATACCCTCTGGCATGGGATCCACACAGCCTGCTCCTTTGGATGAGCTGCAGCATTTTTTCAGCCCTGGACATTGAGTATCAAACGTGCAAGGATAATCAAGTGTTTCCATATCCTTCACTGGACAAATACCAGGTCTTGAGGCAAATACACTGGATCTATTGAGGGCTAAGTAACAAAAACATTTCTGAGAACAAAAATACAGAAAGTTGTTTCCATAAAATTGTGATATTTAATTTATACCATACACCTCCTCCTCACTTTAGAAGTGTGTCTGTTCTGAGTTTTTAATGGGAAGAAAACAGCAACCTAAAATTATCATTATTTCATTTCAAGGGTGTAAATATTCTCAGGTCTTTCTCTTGTCCGTGACATTTCTGTTAGAGAAATTTTGAGTTTCTAACTTTCCATTAATAATTATGGATGGATGGGCTCATAGGTAAGTTTCTAAATGTGGAGACAATGAGAAACAGAAAATATGCCTGATATCACAGAATAATGAGGTTGGAAGAGACCTCTAAGATCATTAAGACCAATTATGCCCTAACAGCTCAACTAGGCTATAGCACCAAGTGCCATGTCCAGTCTTTTTTTAAACACATCCAGAGATGGTGATTCCACCACCTCCCTGGGAAGACAATTACAGTACTTTATTATTCTTTTGGTGAAAAAATTTTTTCCTAATATCCACCCTATACCTTCCCTATCAGCTGTGACTAATCCAAATAATATATAATGATCAAAGAAAACAGGTACTGTGTAAGAGAGAAGTTGAGGACTTCCATTTAACATTTTGTGGCACAAATTTAACCTTAGCTGTAGTAATTCTGTTCCAGCTGGCCACTCCAGGAGTTTGGTAGCCCATGCCAGAGAGCCCTGCAGAGAGGGCAGCTGAGGCAGGAGGTTGCTGCTTCCCAAGCCAAGGGCAGACAGTGGTTCTGGGCCAGTGCCAGCAAAAAAATTTCTTCTAAGGAGGAAAAGAAAACATTTCCAAGCCCTACAAACTCACTTCTTTACCCACACTCTTAAACACAGCTCCATGTAATGCTCAGCTCTGGTCTTTCTAAGCAACCTGAAAGAAATCTCTTTTCCATTCATTTTGCACCTCCAGGTTTTTGATCCTTTACTGAGCAACTGAAGACAGCCAGGAGTAAAATGAACCTGATTGCTGCAATAGAAACAGTCGTGGTGCAGGAAAACCACATTTGATGTTATAAAACCTATACCAAGTGAAAAGTCCACAGCAAACTATAAATCTATTCTGAACAGTCAGCCCTGTGGGTTTACAATTTCTGTTATCCCAAAGCTCTGGATGAGAGTAAATGTGAGGTTTCTGAGAAGCAGGAGGAGATACTGAATTTAGCACTTTTGGTCTCTGCCAAGTAACATTTTTAGCCAGGGAAATGATCTTAATTAACCAAGATTTAACCTGAATCTGCATAACTTGCTGCCACATGCATGTCCCAGGTCCTCTTCTCTCTGGGTTGGCACTCCACAGGTGGTTCCCCCAAAATGGTCATTTCCCTAGAAATATCCCTCTTGATTTTCAAAGCCACATTCAGGTGGGAGACAGCCTCAGCTGCCCATAGCTGAGGCTCACATTAATTCCCAGCCTCAAATGATTGCTCCTTCTCAGCCTCCTGTGCAGGGAGCTAAGCAGCCTCTGACACTGGATTTTGCACAAACACAAGAACCAAGGAATTTCCTCATGTTAGAAAATCTCCTATTCACAAGTGCTCCTTACTGTTCAAACCAGGTGGATCCTGGTCAGCTGGATCCAGGTGTGGAAATTGCTCCAGCTCTGAGATTCAGGTGCAGTTCAAACAGGTTTGAGGTTCAAAGCAGCTTTTTGGTTTTTGGTTTTTTTCCCACCTGTGTCTCTTTTTTTTTTTTTTTTTTTTTTTTTTTTTTTGTGTTTTTTTTTTTTTTTTTTTTTTTGTGTGTGTGTGTGTGTGTTTAACTACAGTGCAAATGGTTTAATGAGTCACATGCAATCTCAGAAAACACTATTGAGTCCTGGCTGGGTGCCACAGTAGCCATTTATCTGAAATCAAAAGGTCATCTTTTTCAGATCAACAGAAACAGAGATGGATTCACTTCACATTTCTGCCTAATTGTACCAGATGCACTTTGGAAATCCAATTTATGCTCTCCCCTTCAATCATGCTGGGGACAGTCACCTCCCAGGCAAGCAGTGAGGAGCAAGCCAGCCAACTCCTTTGTCATTTGGATGAAGTACAGGCTTTTCTCCTCTGTTATTTACATAAATGTATGGAAGCAGAACTGCAGCTTAGCAACCAAAGGTCACTTGCCAGCTTGCCTCTGGACAGATGCTGGATCTGCTGTGACTGCAGGATGGGGCATCTCCCAGGAGATTGATGCTGAGGGACAACATTAGCTCAGCCAAAACCCCCTTCCCCTCCCTTCTTCCATCTGGAAGGGATGGTTTCTTCCAGAGGGTGTGGTGGAGCCAGGGACCAGCAACCCTGCATTTGTCTCACGTATCAGAAGGTGGAGACAAATCTATGAAATTACAGAGGAAGCTCCTGGGAAAGTCTGTTCCAAAGGCAGGCTGGCAGTTTTCATCACACAAGCCTGGGTTTGGGGTCCTTGAGCATTGGTAGGCTTTACTTGCTCAGGTGGATGTTTTCCATCCTAATTGCCTCTCCAGGGGTTTAATTGGGATTTGTGCTGATCCGGCATCTGACAAATATTTAACACCCTTCCTGGGTGTTCCTTTTGCCTCAGAGAGGAGAAGGCTGAGGGGGATGTGGTCAAAGTTTACAGAATCCCAAAGGCAGGGGGCAAGATGAAGGCAGAGCTGGTTTTCACCAGAGTCCACAATAATAAAATGGGTGAAAGAACTCACTTCTTTACCCAAACAGGAAGGAACTTCTGCCATTTGTCAGCACAGGGGGTGTGGAGACAGACAGCTTCAGTGGGCTCAAAAAGAGACAAGGCAATTCCCAGACAGGATTCCCATCTGCAGCATCCATGGGGAACAGGCAGGGAATGCTGATAATCCCATTTCTGCAGCTGCTGGGGGCACACAAGGGACACAAACTGCTGCAGGGCAGCAGGAGCCACCTGCTTCTGGGTGAAGTCCAACAGGACATTCTGGCACCTTCTCAGCCCAGGCTGATGCTGCAGTGCTGCCCATATGTGCCACCACTGTCCCCTGGCTTTCCTGTGACAGCTGAGCACAGGGACAGCTGTGGCCAGCTCCTGCAGCTCTGGGTACAGCCAGCATGGGAACATCTGCATGCCAGCTCTGGAAGGTCCCAGCCCTGCTGAGGAGCTGCTTGGACACCTACAATGAGCCTTTTTTACTTTTTTGTTGTTTTTCTGAAAAGCTTCATAAGCTGTGCACACAAGGCACGCCGATTTAAGCCTGACTTGAACATTGCAAATCAAGTGCTCTCAAGAAACTCCACAATTAAAGTTGTCTTGGATTTTCTTATTTCAAGGTATTTTTGTATGTGTGTGCTTAAAAAACAGCCTTCTCATGTGCTGATGCACTCTTTCCCTTGCTAGCTGGGGATCAGTCAGGGTTAGATGGCAGATAAGGAGCTCTCTGGTTTCATCTTATGCTGGAAAGTGGGCAGCAAGCCAGCCACCAGGAGAAATAACCATAGCATCCATTCAGGCAGCTGGAAACAAGCCTGGAGAACTGGATCCTGTCTCTACCTAAAAGACAAGATTTGTATGGTAAAACAACCTTCAGGCTTTCACAGGTCCATGAGCTTGACCTGCAGCCCTGTGCCCCAACTGTACAAGCTGTTCAAAGCAGCACTAAGCACCATGAAAATCAGAATAAATTCATGAAAAGGTTAAAACTTTTTAACTTAAAAAAGTTAAAGTCTGAAGACAGGTCTGAAACCAACACGGAATGGTTTGATCTCAGTTTCTCTGCAGCTCAGTTGCCCATCTGTGAATGACACAGAAGCTCCCTCGCTTCCCACAGCCTTTGTGAAGACAAATTGCTGCCTGTGAATCCCCCAGGATTCACCTTTAGAGGTGATAAATAATTGTCTATTCAGTGAGAGGCTGAGCAGAGCACTGAATGTGGAGGTCAGGGTGGTACACAGGAATGGAAAGCTCCTCAGGGGGCTCCATCATCCCTGGGCACTGGGAAATGTGGTTCTTGGGGCACTGCAGAGCTGGATCAGGTAATTAAAAGAGTTCACTGATCTGCATGCATGGACAAAAAGAGGGAAAACAAAGGTTCTTCTATTTAATTCTACCTTAAGAATTAATTCCAGCACTTCCTAACTTTTAGATATTTAAATTTCCAGCTGTTATTTAAAAATGTCAAAGTCATTTGTGTGTAACACTATCCTGATGGACACACAACTGCTGAGAACTACCAGAGCAACTTAACCAGTGATCTAGAATAAAGAAATCATAAAAGCAGGGCCTGCCATATCCCAGGCTGGGGTAATTGTTTCCTTCTAGGAAGAAAAGGTGAGGAGTGGCCAGGAAGAGGTCATGGAGACCTTTCCACTCCTGGCAGGATGGAGAGCACGCCAGCATGGATAACGTCAAGAAGAAAATAACAGCAGTTCAGCAGCGTGCTGTGCAGTAATTTCTGCAGTTCCAGTTTCTCTTCTCATCATTTATTTAAGTCTGTGTCTAGACAGTGCATTACCATTCACAGAATTTATGATTAATACCCTGAAAAGCAAAGATACTAGAATAATGTAAACATGGAAATCACCTAGAAGCCATACAAATCCTTAAATGGTTTCAAATATTCCCAAGTTAACTTTTACAGGAAAAAGTGTCAGGGTGACCACAATATTTCATGGACAAACTTGCCCAGAGTGTCCAACATGACAAAGGCAGGATAGAAATTCTGCAGCTAAGCTTTACAAGAGATTTACAGATTTGTTCATGTTGGATGAAACAGAATCATCAACAGCTCTCAAGCCTAAAATACCCCTAGAGATGCTTTTAGGGAATCTCTAAAGAGACAGAATTATACTGAGAAAAAAACATTTCAAGTGTTAGCAAGATGCTTTCTTTTCCACACAAGAAGATGGTCTTGATTTTCAGAGGTTCAGAAACACTTGAATTTCTTGTGCAAACAGTGACAACCATGGTGACTTTTCCACATTTAGCTGGCATAGCTCTTTCCTTGTATTACAGAATTAAAAAGCCATTTTCTCTGATTGCTTCTCAGTCTTGCCATTTGATACTTACAGGCACTCATGTGTGCACATGTCTGTGTATTCAAAAGACTTCACTGAAGTAACTTCTCAACCATAATTAGATGTACTGCAGATTTTCCCCAGCGTGGATCTGATGCTTGAAAAGTAGGGATGATCAGCAGCAGATCCTTTGCCTGACAAATCTGCTTGGGCACACAGTAACCTGCAGCTCAAATTCTGCTTTGCTGGGACTCCACAACAGCCATGGAGCCAAAAAATAGCAGTAAATTAAGAATTGTGCTTTATTTTCTCTTCTCTAGCAAATAACTTTAGGAACAAGTAAAGCACATCGACCATTTTTGTATTCCCATCCTTCTGTTAAAATCCTGCTAGACACAATATTCTACCTGTGACTGTAGAGAAAATGCCTGGGGGGAAAAAAAAAGTTTGGAAATTCTTTTCCCAATGCTCTGAAGCAACTTAAATGTGGGATGAGCACATTGTTCTTGACAGGTCCCATGACAGGACATATGGCTCATCCCCCCTCATGCCACGTTACATGATCCTGTGCAGGAGCAGGTTTGGGGACATTCCCACAGATCTGAGTCACCCAAGTCTCATGACCCAAAACAAGGGCCAGAGCTGCAATAGGACCTTTCCTTTCAATCTGCTGTTCCTGTGTGTGGTTATGTAAATGCCCAGGTCCACACTGCAGAGTGGAAATAAGGAAAATGCAATGTCACACTGAAAATAGGAGACAAAACTATGTCCTGCAGAACTTTTCTGGATGACAGAACAGTTCAGTGTTGATTTAGATAATTCAAGATGCCTGCTCAGCTTAAAAGCATATAAATTTATCCATTGGAAAAAGAAAGTTCCTTTTCCTCAAGGAATCCCCTCCATCTATGTCTCAAGTTGTGATAAATTTCTGACTGACAACTGGCAACCCTGATGTGGGAAGGGGAAAAAGCTTCCATCTTGAGACAAAGGTGGTTGAGTCTTCCTGAGCAGAGCCTTATTAACACTCAGATGTTAGATCACATCCACCAAAAGCTTTACCAGTTCTCAGACCTCCCACACAGGCACAGGTAACCAAGGAAGTCCTAAGAAAATAGGTCCTAGTCTAGTTTTGGTTGGACAGCATCTGTTATAAAGTTGCCCTGAGGTCACAGGTTGTTTTAAATTTGAACCAAAATTGGGTTTGCATTCTGGGAACAGACCCTGCTCCACATCAAAGGAGATGTTATCCCCAGTGCATCCTGAATTACTTTAGAGGAGAAAGCTCCCAGTGTAAATGCAGGCAGGCTCAGAGCAGACACCAGAGTGAATTTTTGCTCTTGGCCAGGGATATTGGCCTGAACCTGGACAGGTAATGAGCCCTTGAAGGGTTAACAAGCAGCTGCCTTCCTCAGGCTCCCCTGGAAGTTTAGTGAATTTGTGATAAGAGGTGGCAAAGAGCAAGAATCGGGAGCTTTAATCTGCTATGTCTGCTCCTTGCCATGTTGGACAAAGTTCTCTGTACATTATTTTAAACTCAGTTATTTCATTGAATAGGAACTATGGCCTGAACTGAATTAAGCCTTTACACATCTCAGCTGAAGTGAATCTTCTTCCATAAGAAGCATTTATTTCCTCTCTTCATCTGACTAAAACTTACCTAGAGAGCAGTAGAGTCCAACTTGTTCATATCCTTCACAGCAATCTGTGAGAGTGATGGTTTCAGGGACTTCAACAGTGTGAAACTCTGTTCTGTAGCGGGTCTGGGGACACACCATCCACGGGATCCACCCTCCACAGGATGTGTTCTTCTCATAGGACTTTTGGTAGGCAACCATTTTAAACACACTTCTGGTCAGGGTGTAGTTGCACAGATGGTACCCTAGCAAAGAGAGGCCTTTTTCTAGGAAACAGAAACAGGAAAGAAAGGGATCAGCATTAACTTGTCGCCCTGCTGCTTTTTGGCTTCCTTTTCTACCTCTGTCAAGGTTGGAATTGAAGCCACTTGATAGTTCACGTTCAGAATTGGATGTTTATTGTTTCTTATCAATGTTACAGCCTCACAGCAGTGAGTTTTGCAGTCCTTCATTAACAAGGCACAAAATGGCCAACTATCTCTTGTTACAAGGTCTTTTAAGGATAAACGATCCAATTAAGAAATGACACATTTAGGTGTCATATTTTCATTTTTAACTGATCCCTTGAAGTCCGCAGTGAGGACTTTTCTGTCCAATTATAAAATTCCTCCCAAACCAATGAAAAAGAAGGAAGAGAAGGTGAAGAACAAGGAAGGGAAGGTAAAGAAGAACAACCTGCCTACACCCTAAAACCTCCATCTTGCTTCATATTTATTTCTATATTCTAAAACATCAAACTCTAAATTTTCCACCCTGTGATATTACACACTTCTAATAACCACACATCCATAATCCCAGTGCTGTTAATCAATTTTGGAAGGCTGTTCCATGGCCTCAGGTCAAATGCAGTGTTCTCCAGGGAGTCAGAGTCTGTCTGTACAGAAAGTCTAAAATTCTCAGCATCCAGAACTCCAACTTCACCCCAGAGCAGAAGTTCCCTGCAGTATCCAGTGGGAAACAGTGTTGTAAGAAAGCAGTGGCAGAACCAACACAGATGAATGATTTCCAGGAAGGCTGACGTTGGGAAGAACATCACTTCAAAAAACAGACACAAGAAAGAATTGGTAGTGACTGCTTGTCATAGGCATCACTTTGGTCATGAAAGGATGAAGATTGGCAGAAAATTCAAAGAGTTCTTGATGCCTTCAGATGCGAGGTGGAAAAGGGGCAATTTAACTCAAGTTAATATTAAAGAAATTTACATATGTTGATATAAATTAACAGTAGAGCACAATAGGAACTTCCAGAGCAGACTCATCCAAGTAGTTTAAAAGCCCACTCCAGCCTCTGCTGCCAAAGCCTTCATCACTCCTCACTGCCTATAAAGGGAACAAAGGGTGAGGAACTCACGGGCAGATGAGTCACAGTAGATGTCTGGAATAAGACATCCTTCAGACATCACCCTAGGCTAAAAGTGGGTACTCATACATCACTGGGAAGCACTTCCAGGTATCTGACACAAAAGGTATTCCTGGAGATCCTGCACTGCCTCTCTGCATTTGTAGCAGACCTTGTTGATCAGCCATTGGAAACCTGCAGTGGTTCACTGACAAAGTCACTGATAAGGTCATTAACTGCATCATTTCACACAGGTCTGGGGAAGGGACTCAGCTTTCTGGGTTCTAAAACCATTTCTGATGAGGAGTGAACTTGTTAGGTGCTTTGCTTAAGACTGAAATACTTCAGCAGAGATAGGGGAGAAAACTCAGCAGAGATAGGGGAGAAAACCCAACACCAAACAACAGAAAGAAACCCCAACAGCAGCAACAAAAGCAGATGGGGTTTAAGAATTAGCACTAAGCAACCTGCAGTCATGTCACAGACATCAGGCTGGCTCCTAATGAGATGTTACAGGAGCCAGAGGGGCTGAGTCACCCTGTGTCCCATTTGGGAAACAGATCAGATGGAATTAAGATGCCTGTATCATCCTCTAACCAAAGCAGAAGAAACTTTAATAAGGATAAATATGAATTAGCTGCAGAGATTCAAATATAGCAGGACTGGTTTTTTGTTTGTTTTTTTGGTTTTTTTTTCTGAGAGCTCTGAGGGCACCAGGGTCACCCAACAGACAGACTGAAGCTAACACAATATACACAACAGGCATATTTAAAACATTTACAGCTAATCTTATTTGTACAACTTATCTCCTGCTTGAAAACATGAAGCATATTAAAAACAATTCAAGAAGGAAAAAAAATGTTAGGCTTTTAGGAATCCTGTGCTTTTATCACAGCTAAACAAAAGACATTTGTGCAGTTTGAGCAGGACTAGGAAAAGAGTTTTGGAGAGGAAGATCCATTTGCAGTGCAGGGACAGTCCAGAAGAAAACATGTTCTGGGCCCTCAGTTCAGGAGGGACCTTGAGATGCTTGAGCACGTCCAGAGGAGACAATGAGGCTGGTGAGGGGCTGGGAACACAAACCCTGTGAGGAACGTTTGAGGGAGCTGGGGTTGTTTAGCCTGGAGAAGAGGAGGCTCAGAGGTGACCTTATTGCTCTCTACAGCTCCTGAAGGGAGGTTGCAGACAGGTGGGGTCGGTCTCTTCCACCAGGCAGCACTGACAGAACAAGAGGACACAGCCTCAAGCTATGTCAGGGAAGGTACACGTTGGATATTGGGAAAAAATTTCACCGAAAGACTAATAAAGTACTGGAATTGTCTTCCCAAGGAGGTGGTGGAATCACCATCTCTGGATGTGTTTACAAAAAGACTGGACTTGGCACTTGGTGCTATAGCCTAGTTGAGGTGTTGGGGCATAGGTTGGACTTGATCTTGGAGGTCTCTTCCAACCTCATTATTCTGTGATTCTGTGTGATTCTGTGTGAGTAGACTTGGTGTCTAGAAATGGCCTTTGGAAGCCCAGCCCAGCTCTGCCTCACTCATCTGTGCCTTGCTCCTGCAGCAAAAGGCAGAGTTGATGCTGGGCTGTGCTCCAGGAAGTGCCTGGAGAGCCAGAGAGCTCCAGCAGGCTCCAGGCACTTTGCTTGGAGCAGCTCAGCAGGAAAATACTGAGAGTGGAAACCCCACTCCTTGCTTCTTCCTCCCAGCCAGCCTCCAGCAGGACACAGTCAATGATAAGGTGACAAAGTCAATGATAAGGTGACAAAGTCAATGATAAGGTGACAATGATAAGCCTCTGTGGCTGCTCCCTGAGGCTCTGGGGACAGTGGCTGAGTGTCCACAGCCCTGAGAGGCACCAGCTTCTCCTTGTCCCTAAGTAGGGAGTGAAAGGAGCTGGTCAGGAGGGACAGGAAGACACCCAGCCTGGCTCAAAGCCTGGCTCAAAGTCTGGCTCAAAGTCTGGCTCAAAGCCTGGCTCAAGCCCAGGAGTTGCCTGAGCCCAGAGAGGAACCCAAGGCTGGGATGGATTTCTGAGCAGGACATGGCTGTGCAGGAGTGTCACCCTGATTCTTAAGATTTTCTAAAGCTTTCTGAGTTTACATTCTGTTAGAAAACTTTCCCACACAATTTCTATAAACAACATATTGTTTTGCATTCCTTCATGGGGGTGGAGAAACTTGATGTACTGGTGTTTTGTCCAATGTCTTTGGAGAGGTGGCCCATCCACTCTCCAATCCAATGTCACCTTTGGGAAAGTATAAAAGTTGGAGTCAGAAAATAAACCTTCTTTCTTTACCTCGAAATAGCAGGTGGCTCACATTGTGCTTTCACATGTCCTATAGCGACACAGGATGAAAATGGAAGAAGTGAGCTAGAGAAATCAGTTATCCTGTAACTTTAGGATAACTCTGTGGGACAATGGGACAGGAAAGTAAATGTGGGTTCTGGAGCAGGAATCAGAGATCTGCTGCTTTTTATTCAATGTGTTTGATCCATTAACACCTCACATGAGGCACAAGTGCCTGACAAGGAGCAGGCAGCTGTCATTGCATTTTGGAAAGTATTCCCATGCCATGTTTTAAGACTGCTCCAAGAATACCTTTCTCTGCAAATGCTTCAAGGCATGAAGGTGTGGGGTGAAAAAAAAAATCTTGTTTCAGCTTTTTGATTTTGGGTTTTTTTTTAATTTGTTTGTAACCTGAATGGCTAAATAATCAGAGTGGAACAGAATTAATACTGAAATAATTTTGGTTATAACATTTCTTTGGAGAAAGTGCACAAACATCTGTTGTGACCAGGGAAGGAGGCAGGAGCAGGACAAATATTGTTCTATGAAAACGAGGAAGAGAAACTCCTACATTAAGGAATCAGATTGTTATATAAAATCAGGTTTGAGGGGAATTGGGCAGGTAAGAAGCAAGAGCTCAGCCTTGTTCCTCCTCCCCATGATCCCTCCTTTTCTCCAGAGCTCACATAAAGCCTGGCAAGAGCAAAGCAGGGACTGGAAGGGAAAAACTGAGTAAGGAGAGCACTGAGGATTCGTGTTGTCCGTGCAGAGCTGAGGCTGCAGCACTGGAAAGCTAAAAATTCCAGTGTCAGCTGAGCTGGCTTAGTCTCTACAGCAATGTGCAACATAAATACAGGTATGAAACTGAGAATAAGATGGTGTAGAATTAGAGACAGTTTATAATTGGAAGCTACAGCTGTCAGAACAGATATGAAGTTATGAAGTCATATTTCATACTTAAACATTGATACCAGGCACACACACACACACACACACATATATATATATATATATATATATATATATATATATACATGTATACACACACACACACACACACACACACACACACAGTATAGAATGAAGCTGCCAAAGCCTAAAGAGAAGCTCTGAGATGAGGCTGTGGTGGTACAAAAAGATTCCCTCAGTGCAAGAAGTTGGACTGAAGGTGTCAGGGAAAGGTGAAGCACCATCAACCTCTGCCCCATCCATCACTTCCAGACCGTTCAAAGCAAGTTTTGACACTCAGATTTCAATTATTTTGCTGACAGCAGTTTGCTGCTGAGCAATGTGGCTTGGATCAATTTGGGCTCTTTAGCAAATTGGCTTTCTGTCCTCATTACTCCCATCTATGGGGTTATGGCACAATCAAACAGAATTAAAATGCACTGACTGTTGTTTTCAGTGACTCAAAGCTGAAGTCAATGGCACAGCAGAAGACCTGCCATTAGTATGGACATGTTACACCTATTATTTCTGGATTTTAGAATTTTGTCTCAGCAGCCACCAGCTTTCAGCACCATTGGGAAAATATCAAATTTTTTTCTTATGTTAAGCAAGAGCATAAACAATTAAAGCAAACCATTTATTAATAGGAACAAACACTGAGAGGAAAGCTTGGGAACAAAGGCTGCACAGGAACAGGCTCCTTGGGACTTGAGGTTAAACCCAGATGAGAACTGAGAGCATGACCAAAAAACAGTAATAAAAAAATGCTTCATAGCTTTTATGCCACAGACAGAGCTGCAGTTCTGGAAACTTCACCACTCAGGTGTCATGAGAGCCACTGTGAGCTGGGATCTGCCAAATCTTTTCTCACTGGAGAGGAGTAAAACTAAAAGATAAGCCCCTTTCTTGACATAACCTTAAAAAAACCTGTTGGAAAGGGTTAATGGAGGGCAGATTCAAGCTCAGTTTTGAAATGCAAACACTCCAAAACATGACAAAAAAACCCCAAAAACAAAACAAACATGGACTTGATTTTTCTACAAATTCGAAATTTTAAAGTCAATACCATTTACTTTAAATGGCACTGGGAAGGAGTTCTAATGGCCCTAATATCTGCAAACCTCTTTTCAGCTGTGGTTTTGACAGAATAACAGGTTCTAAGAAATATGGTTTATATTTAACTGAGACTCACAAAACCACTTAAGTAAAGAAAAGCAATGAAGAGCAGTCAAAAATCATTATATTTCCTCATTCAAATGAATCAAACCAGAAATGAAGAGTAAATTAGGGGTTCATTTAGCAGTTACAGTTGGGTTAGGTTTTTTTCAAAATTACAGCCCATAGCACGGATGAAATTTAAGCATGTCTTTCACAGCTTCATCTTATCCATCCCCAGGAATTTGCCAGGCACATTTCCTGCTAATGCTTATTTTAAGGACAATTTTCATAAAAATTTGCACAATACTGAAGAGAAAGCAGAAATTCTCCTTGTTCATTTCTAGCACAAAGGAAATGACAAGGATTTTGCTTGGGAATGAAAGGCTGGGGACAGAGGTTAGGTTTTTGCTCGGTTAGATTTTCTCTGTTCAATTATCAATTAAATGGTCGCTGGGACATTGCCAGTTCTCCGGAGAGTGGCCACCTTGGCTGCTTTATTTCAAAGAAATATCTATCCAACATCCAAACTGAGCTGTTCTCTGGCCAGGTTGGCATCACTCACCTGTAATTTCATCTCCCCTTCCCTGCCGTGTGGCTGCCCAGGAGATGAGAACAGAAATAAGAGTGATCCTGGCCGCTGCAGGGCCCATCCTGGATAAATCTTTC